GGATGTTGCAACCAGCAGCTCCTTGTAACCAGCATTAACAGGAATGGAGAAAGAGAAGCAAAATCTAAGAACACAAATGGGCTGAGGATTTCCCTGCCCAGGGCCTTGAATCACTTTGTTTCCACTTCTCTTCAGCAGGGCTTTTGTCTCTACAAGCTGAGCCATGGCCATGGTCACCTTCTCTTCCAGCTGCATGTCACAGCATCCTCCACGTTCCCTCTGGGCTCCCAGCATCACCTCAGGCCAGCAGCACTTCTCTCCTGGAGGCAGGACAGGGAAGTTTGAGAAACCAAGCTGTGCCTGCTGCCTGTGGTTCAGGCAGAGGCTGGTACCCATCACTGAGGAGGCTGTGGGCCAGCTAGAGGCTGCCACAACTTGCCATTCCTGGCTTTTTGCAAGGACTCTGCAGGTTTTGAGCATGGGGTTGCTCTGAGCTGCTGCAGGAACTTATCCTGTCCCGGCAAAGTGAGGAGCTTGCTTCTGAGCATGCCTCTGGTCCAGCTCTAGCCTGGTGCCTTCTTTGGCAGCAATTGTGACTAAAGGGAGATAATTTTATTATTAAATGAAATTACTCTTGTTGAGAGTAGGATTCCCTTAGAATGTGTTGATTCCCTGACAATGTTCCTACAGGAAGAATGCAGAGGCTCCAGGCCTACATTTGTAGGTGTAGTGTGAGTGGAGAGCAGAGTTAAGAGTTACATTATATATCAGATGATGATAACTACTCTTCTCAGTGCATATTCTTGGGTGGGCCTTATGGTAAAATCCCATCTGCCCAAAACAATAATTTTCTCCTTTTTATGCATGGGAATTCTGCTCTTCATCAGTGCCTCCTGCTTCTCAAGAGCTCTTTGATGTACAGAATCCAGTTTGAAGCAATGGCACCCTGGCTTTGTGCTGCACCCCTGTGTAACACAGCAGGGGCTCCTCTGTCTTTGGGAGCTGCTGTCTGCAGTGAGATTCCTGAGCAGTGTCCTGCAGTCACTTCTGGCCACATCTGTTCCAACCCAGCCCAGCTTTATGTGTAAGAAAAACTCCCTACAGCTGCATCACACGTGGGTTTGCTGCAGATGTGCTCCTCAGAGGGCAGCAGGGCATTCTCAGCACCACCAGAGCACCACTTCCACTGTCACCTTTGAGGGTCAAGCACACGTCCTCCTTGTACTCCTCAGCCCTGTGTTTCCTGGTGCCTTATGACTCCTTACACATGTGTATCTAAAATAGCTCAAAGCTGATGTCAATATTAACTTCTCAGTCCAAACACCAGCACAGGAGGAGGTAAGTACATGACAATGGGGCATTTTTTAGTAATGGCACAAGATTTAAGATTTTGAGAGGGCTGTGTAGTGTCAAAGGGGGAAATGCAACGTTTTGGCATGTTCTGAAATAGCCAACCATTGTGTCTATGGCCGAGGAGCAGCAGCTGAGATTTGAGTTACTTTTAAACCTTCTAAATGCAGTTTTCCAGTTCCCCCAGTACAGAAAGCAGATGGGATTTGTCTGACCATGATGGACTGGAGAGTCACTTCAACACAACTGTTGGAAACATTTGGAATCTCTGGCCAGAGAGGAAAGTACTGGAAAGCAGACAAACAGGATTGGTAATCTGGTTCTCCCTGCTCATAATTCACCTAATTGGTGTGGGCATATATCAAGTGTTGTTTTTAAAAAGACAACAACCTATCATTTGCAAAGATTAAAAATGTGCCAATTTTTTTTTGCATGCATCTGTCAAAAGCCCACAAGCCTGTAGTTTGCTGCAGAAGGGAACATCTGTGTCTAATTGGCAAAACTCAGGGTTCATAATGGGTGATTCAAATGAACAAAACTATTTTGTCATTCATTCAGTTGGGGATTATAAACTAATCAGAAATCCTTCCCCCTCCCCTTCCCTCAGATCTATCTTGCATTTTCTGTCCCTTGTGGGTTTTTTCCCCTGATCTCAGAGCAAATCTTGAATCTTTTTGGTCTCAGAAGCCATAATAAATTAACAATTCCCCCACTGCCACAACCTTTCAGCCCTGTTTCTGGAATTCACACATTGTACTTCCCCCTCTGCCCAGATTTGGGGGTGCAGGGCAGCTCTTGGGGTTTTTATTGCAACCAGCTGGTGGCTCAAGAGGCACCTTGCATCCGAGACTCCTTGGATGTACACAGAATGTGCAAGATATTCCTCCTCAAATGATGACAGCTTGACAGCTCTGAGTGAAAGTGAAGGCAGGAAAGGGAGCTTATCCTGAGGGTGGGGGCGAGGGATCTGGGGGGGAGGCACTTCCCCATTCAGCACTCTGGTGCTGAATGCCACAGGACCCTCTGATCTGGTGGCTGCAGCTCTGGGGTGTGAACAAAGTCTCCTGGTAGTAGAGGAGGGGCTGTGAACGCCTCCAAGCGCCTTCTCAGTGTCTGAAAAAAGGCAACTGGATCGGTTCACATATTCCCCAAAACAAAATCTCAGCCCTCAATCACTGCTAATTTAAGGAGGCCTGAGCCAATCTGTGATCCTCCCACATCCAGGAGCACCGCCCTGCGAGAGCAGCAGTTCTGGTGCACATTCTGCCTCCTAAACTGGGCACGTATTTTAGTGCAAAAGTTGGGTGGTGTTTACTGTTTCTTCCTATGCAAATACTTGTTCAAAAGTGAGCTCAGCTGATAAGTGTGGAACAAAGGCTAGACTGCACCGATATGCTGGGATGAAGGAATACAAGAGAAGTAGCAGAAAATCCCTCTATTCTTCTTCCAAGTGAGGAAAAAGGAGTATATTCACTGGAAACCAGCAAGTTTTCAGTAAAATCCAAGTGGCAACAACTGTAACTATAATTCTGAATGAATTAGTAAATGGAACTAACTGTCATGACCTGTAGCCTCTTAAATTGACATAAAGTTTAGCTTGTTTCCCCTGAATTCCCAATGAATTGACTAATCCATACTGAACCCAAACATTTTACCTCTTGGAGAAAAAATCAGTACATTTCTATGAATATGTCTTGGTTTTACATGTGGGACTCCTAAGGCATTAGACAGAGAACAATATGTGTGTGGCAATGGATGTGGTTTCTTTTCCACTTGAGGCTTCCAGCCATAATCCAGCCCAGGTGCCTTAAATGAGCAGCCTGCAGTTTATTCCACTGTAATTAACATAAGCTTTGATTTAGATGACAATTTTACAAGTCAAATATTGGATTCCAAGTTGAATACAGAACGCAGTTTCCACCCACGTTACTGTTTTGGTCCTTTTCTGTGGCCATCCTGCATCCACCCTGAAATCCCCCAGAATATGAGCAGCACCTGCTGGAAAACAAAGGTTGTGCCTTGTAGAACAGGTCTGGCTATTTGTTTCTACTTTAGAGCTTTTAACATTTGGTGTTGCATTTTTTTTTTCTTTCTATTTCAATATGAGCCAAGGGGAGGGACCAAGAGAAAAAAAATTTGGAGTATTTTGATCTTTGTGGCTTTATATGGACTTCATAAGCTTCGTTTGTTCTACTGCCAAGTTCCTTTGTGTTTAAATAGATAACAGACCAAGACAACTAATCATTTCCAATAAAAAAACCACACCAAACCCAAAGCATTCCCTTTCTTTTCCAATTAATGCTCATAAACCCTTGCTCCTAGACCAGGCTTGTGACCTAAGCACTTCTGGTTGTTTTTTTTTTTCTTTCCCTTTTCAAAAACAATTGCCTAAGGCACAGACTGGGCTCTGTGCTCTGCAAATTTATGAACGAGTCTTGAGAAAAGGCTCTGAGAGTGGCTTTGGGAGAAGGTAGTTGTAAATATGAAGTGAAAAAGCAGCCTTATGCACCTTTAGAAAAGCACAGAATGGTGGTTAGCGCCACCATTTATGGACTTCCTTCCTTCTTGGAGGCTGGAGGCTATTTGTGGAGAAGGAAGAAATAGCAGATTTGCATGGAACTGTCACTGTGTTATGTAAAATGCATGTTGGTTGCTGGTTTACTGGTGAGAGCTGGTATCTGCTGTCACTATTTTGAGAGGCTTTGCACTTGAAAAAGAGACAATTTGTCCAATCAAAAGCAGCTACATTTTACTGAAGTAAATAAGGCTGAATGTCCTTGAAACAGAAGATGAGTTGGTTGGATGAATCATGGGTGATCATCAATGCAAAGGTTCTTTTTTTTACATGAAAATGTTTTTGTAATGAAAATAACACAGAGTTTTAAATGCTGTGACACATTTTCCCTTTAGCTTCTTAAGATTTTTCTCACACAACCAACTGTTTTGGGGCAACATATTTGTGTGGTCAAAAAGTTGTATGTTTGCCAACAGCACAAATTATCAGTAGTAGGAAGTGAGAATTATGTGAATTACTTACGTGGGTGATATTTCTCTTAGAGGTTGACCATCCAATATACACTTCCAGAGTGTCTAAGAGTGCCTTCTCATATTAGATTGATGCTCCACGAAAGTAGGAGCTAAGATTTGCACAAGCTTAATGAATTTCCCTGTCTTGGGGGTATCTTAAACCAGTCTCTGAAGGGAAAGAAAAGAGCCAGAAATTCCATTGGTCTGGCAGAATGCATCCTGGGTATAATCTAGGCAAGATGTAAGATTCTTTATTTTATTTCCCAGGTGTATTACTCCTGTGGTGCAGTGGTGGAATCAATGGAAAGAGGCCTGATTTTGTCACCAGGTTTTCCAAACAACTACTACCCAGGGACACACTGCGTCTGGCAGTTTTTCATTCCCATGAGAACCCATCTCATCTTGGAAATATTTGACTTTGACATTTTTGAGAGCTCTAGTGAAACTCCAACCCCCTGGGATGGCTTTTCAGCCCCTGCTACAACAGAAAACAAGGACATGCCTTCTCTTGAGGAAAACCTGGACTTTTCTGTCCACACCACAAAACCCTCTCTCTGGACCTCGACATCAAAGGTGGCTCAGGATCTGAGCAGCACTGGGGACCAGTCAAAGGACCTTGCTGGTCACATGGATGAACTTCCAGGAACCATCTCAAAAAAGAATGAAGCCAAACAAGCATCTGAAGGAAACCAGTGGAAGCAAATGAAGGAGCCCAAAGCAGTGACCAAGGCTCAGCCAGAGGAGCTGCCATTCCCTGGGCCTGGTAGTGCTTCAGTGCAGAGGCAAAATACCAGTGGCCTGGAAACAGGAGAGGATTTGGAAGGGAAGATGTTGCTTGCCCACCTAGCTGCTAGTGAGAGAGATGAAGTCCCAGCAGAGACCTGGGCTCTTCCCTCAACAGCACTGCCCGTGGAAGTCTCCTCCAGCCCTCAGTCAGCAGTGGATGTCTGTCCCCATGATGTATTATACGTTTCTGATCTCATCACATTTTCCTCTCGCTTCTGCGGCCCAAATTCCCCTGTGAACAAGACCATGGTGTTTGGTTCATCTCTGGAAATGGTGGAGGTAATCATGGAGCTGATCACCACCACGGACCGGGGCCGAGGCTTTGCGATGCTCTTCGAGTACAGGAACATCACTGACCCCAGCAGTGTGGATGCTGTGAGGCAGGAGAGGAGGGAAAACATGATGGTGCTGGCCATTGGAACAGGGATTGTTGTCTTTGCTCTTGCTTTGCTCTCTGCCTTCTGCGTAGCTTGCAGGTAAGGTGATGCCAGAGCCTTGGAAGCATGTGACATTATCCACAGGGAAATGACCAGAAAAGAGCTACATTCCCAGAGAAGAGCTAGATTTCCAGAGAAGAGTTACCTTTCCTTTGCTCTGCTAACTCCTACTGTCCTCCAAATGTGGTGAAGTGGGTACAGAGTAAGTCAATGTCCCTCACTGCTTCTGCCCATGGCTCCTCAGTTTTCTCTCCTACTTCTACAGCTCCTGTACCTCAGATTTATTTTCTTTTTCCTGCAGAAATACCTGAATAGTCAGGACTTTCCTGGACATTTTTTGTTTCAATGGCAGTGGTGCCTTTGAATCTCAGCTTTTGGCTGATTCAAAATCAGCAGAGGAAGATCATCCTTCCTTGAGTCTCCTGAGCAGGCTGAGCTGAGATGCAGTCACTGCATCTTTTCACAGAGATCCCACAGTTTGGCTCTAACTAACCATCACTAGCACTCTGCAGAAAAGTAAATAATAACCAAAGCATTACCACATAGAATTAAGATTTAAAAATATTTTCCCATCTGTAGCATATTTTATCCTAGAGACTGTGCAGAAATTCTAAATCCAGTGCATTCAGTGTGTTAAGAAGTCGTCTGCACATCCCTTTGATGCTGGGGAAGAGCCCAGAGCCATGCTGCAGTAGCTCTCATTGTTCCCAAATGCAATCCAAAACAATCCATTCAAATGAGCTGATGGTCAGGCTGGGTTGTGTCTTTCCAGGTCCTGATGCTAACTAGTTAAATGCTAACAGTTACACAAGCATGCCTCTCCAGTCAATTGCTTTTCTTTTATGTATTTCTTTTCTCTATATCTATCCAAGGAACACTTCTCCGCCCCCCAGCATATGTTTGCATTTTTCCAACTCCCTAGTGAAAACATTTTTGTAGAAACAGTGATTTATTTCTCTCCCTTCCAACAAATTCAAAACAGAGCCCATTCTCCCCAGGTTTTTGTCAAAATAAACACCGTTTTTCAAATGATTTGCCTTCCATGGAAACATCAGGTAAACTGAAACAAGCAGTGCCCCTCGCAGGGCTCCACTCTGGGCTGGGTATTGGCAGGAGTGTTCATTTCCCAGAGCCATCAAGCAGCTGCTCTGGTTTCTCCCCTGCCTCATCCAGCGTGAATCCTCCAGCCCCAGAGGCTCAGGATTGCCCAGACACCCCTGGACACTGGGGCTGGTTTGGCAGAGCCATTTGGTTTTCCTTGTCCTGATGGAGGCTGCGTTTCAGCTCTGGCGGAATAAACACACAATGCAGGGCAATCCCACTGGGCAGCAGAGAACGTGGGCACAGTGGTGAAGCTTAAATATCATCTCTCTTCTGTATATATAGAAATTCCTGCTTTCAGGGTCTGAACTTTCTGTAGCTGTAAGAGTTAAACTTGCATGTATTACATCTAACTAACCTTTTTGTTTTTAAAGAGCTTGCAGAACACTAATTTAGACCACAATTTTTTGCTAGCTCTAAAGGAAAAAATCTGGTGGAAAATGTCTTCCAGATACCAAATACTTTATTTTTATACCCTCGCCAATCTTCAAAAGAGACAGAAACAGGCTCCCTTTGCTATGGCAGCAGTCTGGGCTGATACACATGTTGAGTAGGCTGTTCTTGCTCCAATACCCCTATTTAATTTCACTGTAACAATCCATGAAGCAGAGTATTATTCAACCCAAAAGTGCACCGGCAATCTGAGGCTCCACTGGCTGAGGTTTCCTCTGCAAAGCCTGTTTAGAAAGTCAGGCCATGCTGCTCACATTCACAGTTTGGCTTTTTGCTTGTTAGATGTTTACAAAATAATGTTCTGCTCTTGCTGACCAACAGAAGAAAACAGTCCACAGGGCTTCAGCCCCACCCACCAATGTTTGTGTGTTCTGGTCACTGGGAATACATCCTACAGGGGTGCCTATGGCACAGGATTAGGCTTGCTTCTTTTAACACTGGCATTTATGCCTCTTCATTGCTCTACAACTCTCTTTTTTTTTTTTTTTTTTTTTTTTTTTTTTTTTTTTTTTTTTTTTAAGAAGATACCTATGCCTCAACCAGCTACTGACTGAATGTAAATAATGAAAATAGAGACTACACCTGCTCCTTTAGCCTCTTGACACGGTGTTTACTGTCCCAGCCTCCTGTATTCCCTGCATGCTGCTCCTGGGAAGCTTTGATTACACCTCTCTATTTTTTGTCAGAGCATTTAAGTGAGACCAGGTGGAAGCGATGCCATGACCTGTGCTGAGTTACCTCACCTGTGTTGCACTGGAAGAGCCTTTTCTCCCTCTTTACTGTGCTAACTGCTGTAAGGGTGTTGGTGCCTGGCCCCAGAACCTCTGGCACTGCTTGGAGCTCGCCTACAGCTCACAGCTGTGGGGTTTTAATGCAGCTCAGAATAAGACTGCTGAGGCCATTAAGCACTAAGCATTAAACTTCTTTTAGATTGAGCCTATCAAGCTCTATTTTATGCTTCTTGTCCTAAATAGGGGCTTGAAATGAGGTGTCAAATGTGTATTAGCCACAGTCTGTCCTCACTGCAGAAAATGGCAGGGTGGCACGGGGTGGGCTCAGGGGGGAGATGATGCTGCTCTACCAGTGCAGCAGACTCAGAGCTGGGACCAGCCCCCTGAGGCACAGGACCCTGTCCTGGCTGGACTGGGCACTGCAGGGGATGCCAAGAGGAACCTGGAAGCTCTTGGCCTTGTAAACTTGCCTTCAACTTTCTTTTCTCTTCATACTTTATTTATTCCTCTGGTACCAGGTTCAGCTGTTGATTTTTTTTTTTCCATTTCTGTCTGCTGCTCTTGCTTAGCTAAAAGTAGCAGGCTCAGCCTTGCCAGGAGTAGAAATGGCCTGGGATGGGCTTGGCAGCCACTGCCACTCCAGTGCACCAAGTCATCAGCAGTATCTGCTCAGGCTCATTGCATTGAGCAGGGTAAAGCTCTCTGGGGAAACTCCAAGTCTCTGCCACACTGCAGCTTTTGTTTTCTACTTGGGGAGGGAATGAAAGCTTCAGTTGTTAGTTGGCCAATAATTCTAATTACTTTTGGCCATGAAGCCTGGCTGGAGTAATGGGGGATTTTTTATTTTCTTTCCCAAGCCCCAGGAACAACAGATACATCCATCTTATTTAATTTTAATCCTGTCCCATGCAGTCAAACTTTTGCTGTATGGTTGCAACCCATGTAAAGCTGCACTTTACGTCTGCATAGCCTCCCAACCCTTGAGTGTGCAGTGACTCCATCCAGCCTTCAGTGTTGCCATCTCTCCCCACCCAAGCTGCCCTGCCAGTCACTGCCTGCTGCCCATCTGTCACCTGGGGTGAGAATTTCCCTTTGCAACAACCTGGGTTGCATCCCATCAGTCAGTGCCTAATGCTCCCCCGTGTCTGCAGTGTCCCCTGGAGAACCATTGGGCACAGACTACTCTTGTTTCAGTCATTATCAGCTCCACCAGTGCCAGCCTTTGTGATATCTTTGAGTCTTATTCATCCAATAGTTTATAACACTAGTTGTTTAATAATCTCAGTTTTAGTAAAATTGTGAAAAAAAAAGGCTAAGAACATGAGTGTGTCTCCCTTCAGCCAAGAGGCACGTTCATCCCATCATTGCTGCCACAGCACTGCCTTTTAGTGAAACAGTCACACAAATGAGCAGCATCTGATGCTCTCTGCTTGCTAAATATAACCCAGTATGCAGTATTAGCTATGCAGATGAAATATTCTGTCTAGCAGGATAGGAGGGATGTCACTGCCCAGACTGAAGGATCTCAGTCCTGCTGTTCAGTTAGTGATGTGAAAGAGCAGCTGTCAGGGGGAGCCTGGTGGGACTTGGCAGAGGTCTGAGCTCTGCTCCTGCTTTTGCAGCGAGCAGAGGAAGAAGATGACAGCTTCTTCTCTTCTTCAGCTGACTTTCCACCACATGAGCATATAATTTTCTCCCCTTGTTTACAGGCCTTGCTGCCTTGAGTCTTGGCAAGTATTTTGGATGCTCATAACCTGCTGGGTTCCCCTTGCAGGATGAGCAGAGCCGAGAACTTTCCTGCTGTGGATCTTTAACTCACTCGAGGGCTTGTTGTTGTTGTTGCTGTCTCTCCTTTTCAGGCAGAGAACGTGCCCCAAAAGGAGCTCATCCAACGCATGCAGTGACCAGGAGGTTAGTGCTAATGGCTTCAGCAATTTCTCTTTCTCTCTTTCATATTGGCTGTTGCACTGTTTATCTGACGATGTTTACTGGGGCATGTTCTGAGTTGTAGAACAGGATCCAGAACTCCACTGTCGATATCAATGAGCTCCAGCTGGTGGTGCCAAGCCGGGAGAATGAAAACAACAACCACTCTGTGAGCCGGGAGCAGGCGGGTGAGTGCGGGCATGGGCCGGAGCGGGTCAGGGCAGCCCGAGCCCCGGGCACTGCCCCAGACCCTTCCTTCCCCACAGGTCACTGTCTCATGCACAGCTGGAGAGCTACTCCACAGCAGAAAGCCTTTGTTGTGGGCACTGTCCCTTGCTGCTCCCCCTCCCTGGTAGGGTAATTCCCCTGGCAAGGAGCTCACGCAAGCACAGCTCCAGCACGCTGCCAACGCAAGCTGTGACAGCACATGGCACTGCAGAGACACTGGGTTAGCAGAGCAAATGTGCTGGGCTCAGGCTGCCACAAACCACTTACACAGACCCCTGAACTGGGGAGCAGTTTCACCTGCCCCGGGCCTAACTTTGTCCAGAAAGGACGGGTTTTCCAATGCTCAGATTGTCTTTGGCCAGCTCCAGCTCCCAGAGCTCCCTGTTTCTGTGGGTCTGTGTGGATGGAGGTGCTGTGGGTGACATTTACCTCACAGTGTGCTTCCAGGAAAAAGCATCCCAGCCAGTGTCACTTGCTGCAATTCTGAGTCACAACACATGAACTGTCCCAGTGCCCTTTTTGGTTAGTGGAGGCCAACAGGGAGTGACTTTATGCTGTGCTGTGACACACCTTCAGTTTCCCAGTGGTGGCACACACTCAGCTCTCACAAGGGTACCTCCAAAAAACGCTAATTCTGTACTCCCAGCCATGACAGCTTCCCATCTCCTTCTTGAGGAGGCTGTGGCCAGAGTTGTCCTTGCCTGGATCAGATGCCAGGCCCTGGGGACACATGCAGACACACATCCCCCTCCATGGCTGTCCCTGGAGCATCAGACTGCCTGTAGGAGCAGGTTCACTGGGGTTTAACCAGAAACTACAGCTCCCAATATTAGCAGGTGTGAGTAAATACAAATAAATAATGAGTTGAGCAAGTCTGCAAGTTTTTGATCTGCAGCACAACCTCATGTGTTTAACACAAGGAATTTCAGTTAATGTCTGTTTTTATTAGAAAGCACACCCAAGGGTGTTTCTCCTCTCCTCTTTTGTTTTGTTTTTAAAAGCTTGCAGTTTCAGGAGAGCAAACTGTTGACTTGAATTCTGTTCTGGCTGGTGCAACAGCCAGCCAAAGGCTGTTCTAGATTGTCTGGGGAGGGAGGGAGGGATGAAGGTTTGGCTCCTCTTTTGTTTTGTTTTTAAAAGCTTGCAGTTTCAGGAGAGCAAACTGTTGACTTGAATTCTGTTCTGGCTGGTGCAACAGCCAGCCAAAGGCTGTTCTAGATTGTCTGGGGAGGGAGGGAGGGAGGGAGGGAGGGATGAACGTTTGTTATGGAGGAGTTGGAAACAGATGTTTTGGACTCTTGCAAGCAGAGCAAAAATCTTTATTGATTTTTTTCCTTTCTCAGTCACTTCCTGCAGAGGCAGCACAGAACGGTCTCCTCAGGACACTGACCCAGATGTGCCCTCCTCCATCTCTGCAGTGACCACTGAGACTGGGAGTGATGAAGTGTTTATCATTTCTGCTGGACCTGGGACCAGTGGGCTGAGCTTTACCACCTACAGGATACAGGTACATTCCCCAGCATCTCTAGCAGGCTGCAAGACGTCCCTCTTGGACAGCACTTGTCATACCTGTCCATTTTTGCCTAATGCCCACTTTCTGGAAAGGCAGGGACTGAAGCAGGCAGTTCTCCTACCCCTCAAGCTGAGCTGCCGTCAAATGATGTGGGCTGTGATCCCCTGCGCCTGTATCTTCCCAGCTTTGGGAAGAGCAAATGCAGAACCCTACTAGCAAATCATGGAGATGCTTGCCAGCAGACAGCAGGACCAACCTGCAGAGGTGTTAATTGGCAAAGCTGATGTTCCATTAAAATTACCACCTGTAGCAAATGAAAGACCTGAGAGTCAGACCTACTCCTGCCCACCACTCCAAGGGATCAGGGAAGTTACTCAGCTCCTCAGCATGCCAGAAAGTCTCTCACCAAGCTGATGTGAAAATTAACAGCTTAGACTCCAAAAAAATCAAATACTTCAAGTGAAAGCACTGAGGCCCTCACAAATTCACAGACAGAAACTTGAATTGATTCAGCAGTCTCTCTCTTATTTTAGTTCTTTCCCCTGGACTCCTGGTCCTTTATTTGTTTAGAGACAGATGATGGCTCACAAGCCTCAGGTCTGGCTGTCACCTCTTCAGCCTTGAGTGAGTGCAGACAGAGCACATCCACTGCAAGTGTCTGCTAAAGCCTTTCCCAGGTCAATACTCCAGTGCCCTGTCTCTTTTTCCCACAAGAGGATAAACAACCAGCACAAGGAACTCACATGCCCAGGACAGGCTGTGTAATACTTCTGTCACAGTTTACAAAACAAAAGCATTCTCTATCCCTGCACTTGCTTAGGAAATTAGCCAGGAGGCCAGGCTGGTCAGGATTTTCCTACACTGGTGTAAGGCACGTGCTGAGCTTTGCCTCCAGCTGGCCAACCTGATGAACAGAGAGAGGGAAAGAAAGGAAAACAGCTCTGGAGCCTTCCCTTGCCTGAACCTGACCTTCTGTGAAGCAGGGCACTGGGAGTTGTAGCCTTGAACAAACCTGGTCCTTTCCAAAGCAGAGAGCTTCACCTGGTGGCAACCCCACACACATCCAACTTCTAGGCAGCAGGGAAAACCATTTTCCTGCCCCTTTTCTCCACTTTAGTCAGAAGGAACGAAGACACATACACACCCCATTTCTATTCTGACATTGCTTCTGCAAGCAGCCTTCAGAGGGCATTTATACATAAAAAAATAAAAGAGTGCTAAAACAATGAAAGTAAGCAAAAAATTAAACACTATTAAAAAATTTAAACATTATTAAGTCAGAAATATTATTTAAAATATTAATAAAAAATATTATTAAAAAATTAAACATTATTAAGTCAGAAAGCATCTCCTCAGTGATGTCCATGCAGCACACAAGTGAGGCAATACTCCCAACCAAATTCCTCAAGGAACCAAGGCTGGAAGCATGGCAGGCCTTTTAAAAAGCCCTGGGTATCTTCCCACTGCTGAAGACCATCCTCTCCAGGGCTGTGGAAATTGAGCACAGCAGACAAATTACAAACCTGCACTCAAACAGGTTCTCATCAGGCCACTCGATTCTGAGGGCTCCTGGATGTCAGACGTGTTTACAGCTGAATTTTTAGGTGTGTATTTTTAGGGTGTGAAGTGCTGCTGGCCAGCCAGCCTCCAGGCCTCACAGAGGATGTGGTGTGTGGCTTTGTGGCCAGCACTAGGCAGTGGGATGAGATATCTGCTGGAGCACAGCCAGTTCCTTGGCAGGAGCTGAGCAGTTATCCCCTTGTGAAAACATGTGTGAAATCCTGAGCCTTCACAGCACAGTAAATAATGCCAGCAGACTCACCTCACGCAAAATGCTTGACTAGAATTTGTTAAATTATAAGGAGATTTCATTAAAAAAATTATCTTGACCTCTTCCCTGAGAAATTGTGTGTGGCTGCTTGGTCCTGTGCTGCCCACCAAGTGTGAGCCTGAGCTCAGCTGGGCCTGAGCCTGTGATTAAGTGGCTTTTGCTCAGCAGCTTTTCAAACCTATTTGAAGACACCAGTCCTGTGTTGTGAGGGAAGAGCTGGGAGAGCATAAAAACCCCTCTGTTTGTGACTGGTGTGAGGAAATGGAGGGTGGGGTGGCTTTTGGGGAGACTCCAGGTGTCCTCCAGTAGTCATGGCTTGCTAAATCCCCTTTGGTTTAAGGCACCATTCACCCTTTGGCTGATTATGACTATGATCTCTGTTTTCTGATCAGACACAGCAAGTTTCAGATGGAAAGGTTTGAGTAAAGAGTATGATCATGGAAGCTTAACAAACATCTATTGCCAAAACATTTTCCAAAGTCTAGAAAATACACTCTTCATCTTCCCAGTTCCTTCCAGTGTACCTATCACAAAACCAGTAGACAATTTTTACATCAGTTTGGAGGTATTTATAATAATATTAGAATAATAAATCCCAAGAAAGCTTGAAGGGGCCACTAAGGAGAAGACAGCTGACTTAAAACTTTATAAATATTGTCCCTTTAATAAAATCTTAGACTAGGAGCTTAATATGGAAACCAACTTATCCTGAGCCTGGTGCCTCTCCTGGCTTCCTACTGAGTTTCTTTTTCTGATCTAGTGCTAATTTCTTGCCTCTCTGCCCATCCATTTCCAATATGACACATTCACTAAATAGTTTCTTTGATTTGCAGAAACTCAGGAGATTCAGATTCTCAGAAATAACAAATTAGATGTTTCTGGTTTCTCAGGATTTTAAAATCCAGGACACTGTGGGATTTATTTCAGACACTCTTTAAGGACTGTGTAAACTTTGGGAATATGGATTTTGAATTCTTCTCATGACAACCATATTCGCACAGCTGAAAATTAAAAATATGTACAGAGTTGTGTAACAGGAGGCTTAAATAACAGGTGAGGTCTTAGTAAGAATGAAAGGAGATTCACAGAAATTTCAGGAATTCTCTAACTTTCCTGGTTCTAAGCTTATATCAATATTAAGGACAAAAACCGTGATTTCAAATGCAACATCAGAACTTATAAAGTATGGAAGAGATGTTTGTCTATAGTTCATTCCCATGTCTGATCATCTCTGCTCATTCACAGGGCTGGTGACAGCAGTTTAAGGTAGTCTCACCTCTGATGATGCCAATTTTACAGCTGTCTGGATGTCTTGTTCTACTCCTAAAGCATGTTGTCCACCTGAACAACATTTTTAATGTGAAATGCAAATCTTCTTGGCTCCAATCCAGTTCTTGTTCTTGTTCTATTCAGCACAGACACTGAGAGCAGATTATTTCCTTTCTCTTTATTTTTTATTATTTTTAATTCTTCCCTTACAGAGGACAAAGAGAACCACTTACTTCAGTCTTTTCTCCCAAACTGTGCATTTTTGAGACTTCTGATTCTCTTCCTGCTAGCTTTGGGATTTCTTTCAGTAGGCTCCATCCCCCTTAAGTTTTATTTCCCCAGACAGACACACCTGGAGCCTTCCAAGAGCCAAGCAGAGTGGAAGAATTCTGTTTTACACAGTGAAGTTTATGACTCTGATCTGTCAAATACTTTCAGTAAAATTAAGCTGTAGATATTTCATATATTTAGTGAGGGTTGTAGGACTACATCTTACGTAACTGAAATTTCCCACTTCAGCTTTAAACCCTAAACTGGGGGAGCAAGATAAAACTTTCCTCCAGGGAAGCCAGTGAGCTTCAGGCAGCACACTGGAAGAACAAGGAAGAGAAGCTGCATTCCTGTGTCCTCTGAGAACGACTGAATCAGTCCCTCTCTCGCACCAACAGCCTGTTTCCAAATTGTTTTAAAAACGTTTTGATGAAAGATGCCTACAGACGATCTTTATTTACTCTTTTCAGGACAAAAACCTGAAAAGAAGCGTCACAAGCCCGGCCTCTGTGTCTGACTGGCTGAGCTCCCACCCCACAGCTGCAGGAGCGGACGCTGCTGAGAAGGGGAACGCGCAGCTGGAGAATCCCTGTCCCCGGCAGCGCACCTGGAGCGCCCGCACCTTCCACGACCTCCTGGCTCCCATCCCACAGCTGCAGAAAAGATGGTGCAGCTGGAGCACCAACAGCCCCTTCACAAAGCTGGTTGACAGCAGCGTGAGTCCTGCAGGGAGGGGAGCGTGCTGGGGTCTCAGCTCCAGTATTTCCCCACTGTTCACTCATGGGACACGTTTTCCCCTTGGCCAGTGCCTCACCTCTCTGTCCTGCAGTGCAAACACGTCTCAGTCCATCTTCCTTGGTGTATGGGAAAGCCTCTGGCCTAATTATATTGTAATTTAGCCAGGCTTTCCTACAATATTAAGCAGCTGTATTTTCCAGCAGTTGGCACCTGGTTAAGAAATTATCCCCAGTCCAGAAGAACATTAAAAAATGCCTTCAGACAAGATTATCTCATTGAGTGTTCTGACATGTGCTTTTCCCCCCAGTTATGCCTTGAATTTATTATAATTGATGTATTATTATTGCACTGCAAGGAATTCGTAGGTGTGGCAGGGATATCTGGGTCTCACTGACTGTAGTCATCAAACCAACAGCTTGTTACAAAGCTAATAAAGGATGTTTCTTCCTTTTTAAGGTAATAACATAGGTTTTTGCTAAAGAATGCATCTTACCTCTAAAATAACCAGGAATTTTAACTTTCAGTTCTCTCAGGATCAAAGTTTTGAGAGAGAGCTGCTTTTCATGGCATGTCTGCTAATTTTGTACTGTTTTGTGCAGGGTTTTTCTACAGCTGCAAGACCCCAAGGTGTGCCAACCAGAAAGGTAATCTCAGCCACTGAGATCGAGGGAGCATCAGAGACTGTTTACTCTGATTCATCTGCCAGTAATGCCTCCTATCCCCTCACTCTGTCTGCACAGAGGCAGCGAAAGTTAACCTCCTGCAATCTGAAGAAATCCAGATTTGGAAACCCTTATTTTGGATTTTTAGCCAGTTCCCCTGACAGCAAACATATGAGGTCCTTAGATCCCTCAAGACATCTAGGGGCAGCATCTCCAGTTAACAGCCAAAGCCCCAAAAATCTTCTAGAGAGCTCCAACCCACTGAAAATCAACTTGGTTAACGGCTCAAAAACAAAGGAGCTTATGGTAGAAACAGACAAAAACAAACCCGTTTTTGTTATTTCTGAAGAAGGGGATGATCAGCAGCCTCTGGTCCTGGCAGAACACCTCAGTCAGTGTGGAGATCACCTGTCAGAGCAAAATGCTGTGTATGCTCCGGCCGTGCCAGAGAAACAGCCGGCGGTTCTGACTGCGGAGAGGAGCAGCTCTGCCCCCTTCCCACCGAGCCTTCCCCTTTGGGGAAAATCCCCCACATCATACCAAGGCCAGGGGAAGGCCCCCAGCTCCTCCAGGGACCAGCAGAGCTCAGCAGGTGCAGATGCCAGCACTGCTGAGCCCTCACAGAACTGCAGCACCCCCGCTGCTCCCACGCTGTGCCAAGCTTCAGTCCAGTGATGTCCTCGGAGAGACAGGAACATCAGTTCCCAAAGCCAGAGGGAGCAGGGACACGAGCAGAGCAGAAGCTGTGCCGAGTTGAGTGTGGCAGTCACACGTGGCAGCTTTGTTGAGAGCAGCCTTTGCTTCGCAGACGTTGGGACTGAGATTGCAAGGACACAAACCACAACACAACTCCCCTTCAGCTCACTAACCTCATCTCTCTTCTCCTGCATGAGACTTGGATGTAGTTTGTACAAGAAAGCATCCTCTGGAAAGGCACTTCAGAGTGCAGAACCCCTTTCCTGGGATGGGAGTGAAAGTAACCTGGGGTGGTTACACTGTGGTTTATATCTGAAATGTCAATCAGTCCCTGTCCCTGTGGCATCACTTGAGTCTTTCTGTTAGGAGCTCTGAGTTAGCTTCTGTTTATAGCTCTGCCTGTACAATCCAAGCCTTGCCAAGCCAAGGGTAAGAATTCAATCATGCATGTTTGCATACAGTTTTGTAAACTTCATTTTAAGTATTTCATAACTTCTGCAGTCTAGCACAAAGCTTACCAAGCATTAGCAGCTCTAATATTAAAGAACAAGATTATCTCATCTCCTAACTCTTTAGAGAAGTGTACAGACAAGCTGAGCAACCCAATACCAGATGCTTGTTCTATTAAAGTCTGATGTAGCTTTATCTTTGTTAGGTCTACATAGGCTTAGAACACCTCAGTCCACTACATTAAATGACTCCTCATGGCAACAGGAGCATGTGTACAAAAACACTGAAATACTAGGAATAGTCTCCAGCATCCAACACTTGGATATTTGCAGCTGCTCTGATCCTATATTCACCAGCTATTTATTGCTGGTAACGCACATTGACTAGAGAACTATTCCCCTTCCTTTAGCAGGCAAGACTTGAAAGACAAAATTAAGGTGGGGCAAACTTGAGTGCTCACTTTCTTTAGAAATTAACCCTACGTGGCTGTGCCTCCCTGAGTACAAGTCCAGGGCATTCAATGGAACACTGAACCAAAGGGAAGCCTGCTAGTCCTATTGCCTTTAATAACCCCATCAGTATTTTAATTTCCTCCTGGTGATATTTTCCTATCTTTGCAAGAGACTCCTGCATGTTTGTCCCACAATTCAGAATTGTTTTTCTCTCTTAAATTAAACAATTCCCTCTGAAGCTGCATTTTGCAGCTGAAACAGCACATTGTTTTAAAGCAATAGTATGTCATAAAACAGGTGTCAGAAAGAAATCTTCTGCACAAGTCTTCCCCTGTATTAGCTGCAGTGTGCATCCAGTTATCTTAATCCTTCTCTGTGAAGGCATTTAAGACTGATTGCTGAAATATTTAACTGAATTATTTATGGTTTCACCTGCTGTTACAGCTTCCATTTGCCACCATTAATGTCTGAGATATGCAACACAAGACTATAGGTTTTGCCTTATATTTTCTCTGTGTGTTTACATGTCTACCTAGACATAGAAGCTGTGCAGCTGGTAGCAGTGGAAGCAAAAACACATTTGCCCTTTAGCAGTTGACTCAAACATGAACAGCAAACAAGCCTCTGCATTTATTATTTCCAGACTGTGCTCAGTGCCAAAGTCTGGTTCCATGTTGGTTGGTTCTTTTTTGGTGGGTACTTTTTTTTGTTGTTGTTGTTTAAATTAATGCTGCTTGATTCAAAGGGAAGAGATTAATATATTTATGGTTTTAAAAATATTTAGAAGTCTTCAGTACTCTAACAATAACTTCCACTGCATTAAATTAATATACACTGTAATTTAATGTTCTGTTACTTATTACATTTCTAAAGTTTGAAATACTAAAATCTACTTTTGAAAAGTACTTGTGTTCAATTATTGACAATAGTTACACTTGAAGGGCTGGAAAAAGTGGCTTTTTCAATAAAAGCATGTTTAACCACTCATTTCTATGGTGTAACAACACTTAATTTGTTTTGCTGAAAGCCTGAGCCGTGCCTCGGAGCACCAGGAGAGCGTGTGGGGTACCCCAGTGGTGGCAGAAGAGCAGAAAAGCAAACACTCCTTTTTACATCCTTCCCAATTTCTCTGAGACTGAAGGTGAGGTGGTTGTTTACACCAACCTCCTCCAGCACCTGTTGTGTAACCAAAGACCAGACTTTGCTCACCAGGTTTGTCTAACTGCTGCCACAGGAGGTTTCTGTGGGAGCTGGTGTTTCCTTTCAGATCCATCAGTGCCTGCTGCAGCAGCATATGGGCAATTATTCATGGGACTGCACCAGACACCCTGGCCTGTACACACACACACACATATATATATATATGTATATACACACACATACATTATATATACACACACATAATTGTGGTGAGAGAGGCCCTGCTCCTGATGAACATGCAATATTGAACGCTGCTGCTTATTCTCTGAACAGAGGTGGCTGATTGATTAACTATTTAAAGGTGATGCCTTCTGCCTCTAGAAGATGCTGAAGCCCCGTGCCTGCAGGTACCCCAGGGGAGACTTCAGTTCCTGACCTGCCTTTTGAAGCTTTTTTGTTTGATTAGGGTTTTTTAAATTTTTTTAAAGCAGATCACTAAAATTAACTGCTAAAAAGGTATTTGTGTTATAATTTGTATTTTCAAAGAAAGTATAAAATATTTTCCTCCTCTTACAGCCAAAGCAACTGTATTGAAGTTCTCATATTTTCTTTTCTTTTTTTCCCCAGGAAGACAAACAGCTTCTACCTAAACTCTTAAAAAAGTCACAGTGCAGAGTTAAGAAATTCTGAAAGCTCTGGGTGGAATAAAGCGCTTTAATACTCTCAGCTGTAAATATTGACTAGGATTAGTTTTTAAATAGTATTACTTATGGCATTTATTTTGTCCTAACAGCTATTATTACTTTGGAGAGCTATGCTGCCACTTTTAATGACAGAAAACCTCATCCCTCATGCATGGGCTTGGATTCAGTTTTACCCTTGTGCAGTGCAGGGTTTGCTGTGTGATTCTGTGTTCTGTAACCAAGCAGTGAAGGGGATAAGCACTCCAAACACCCACTGAAGAGGGGGGAAAAAATCATTCCAATCACAATTGCATGGGGGGAAAATGCAAAAAAAAAACCATTATAGAGCTAGCAAAGAGAAGTATTCTATACAACAAAACTGAGAAATATTCACCTTTCTTCTTTTTAAAATGAATTATTCTGGAAAATACTAGTCAAACCCTCTAGCCAATGTGTTAGGTAGACTAAATAGGACAACAATATGTGGGCATTCCCTAATTTTTCACTGTACAAACAGTGCTTCAAAATAAAAGTGTGAAGCTATACAAGCTGACAAGAATCTGGTGTGCTGAGGTTCTTACTGTCAGGTACTTGATCTGGTTGGAAATGGAGGCTCAAAGGGAGAACAACAGATTTAACATCCAGGTGATGCAGCCTAACTTGGAAGATTCAGAATAGCATTTAACAAGAAAAATCCACTTATAACTTAGTAGCAAATCATGAACTGAGGTTTCCTTTCAGAACTCTAACTTTTTGTTAAGCGCAGTTGGTTGCAACTCTTTCTACTCAGAACTGTCTTGTTGGGTTTTTTCCCCTCAGGAGGGTGGCACATGAGCCCTACCAAAACACATTTGACTCAAACAGTCCAGTCAGTAGATTTTATTCTAAACAATTAAAGATTAATTTGAATTGCAAAGGAAAAGAAAAGGTAAGTCCTAAGCCAACACTTAGCTAATGAAAGCAAGTGAAACTCAGCAGCACTGAAAAGAATACCCAACAGAGACTAAATACAGCTTCAACATATATTCATGGTCTGTCTAGAAATGTCTTTGATGTTAAACCTCATATGGCACACTTAGCATTTTTTATAATTCATTTCCTATGGAAACTAATGAGCTTAAGGGTGAAATTACCTCATTGAAAGTCAAAATGGAAGTGTGAAGAAAAGAAGGATGACCTGGAAAGCAGATTTAGAAGCAATCTTTGCATATTAAGCATTGCTGTGGGAAATAGTATAATTAGTTTTCTTCAGAACTTATTCCTTGGAATTGTGTAAGTGGTATTTCAGCTCCCAAACATCATGCAGAAAGAATGTTAGATAAAATAGGTGGAAAAAAATGCAAAATCCTCACATGTTCTTAAAATCAAGATTTTTTTTCCTAACTTTCAGTGACTGTTGACTTATTTTTAAGAGGGCAGACCATAAAAAATAAGACTCCTTTCCAGCAGACTTCTAAGGGACCATAAGAAACCAGATTTTCAGAGCATAATTTGGAATAAGCATTCACTTCCCAAATTCCTAACTCCTTTTACTTGAATCAACTTATTTCCCTAAGCTCTTGCTGCAGGCTAAGCCATCTGCCCCACACAGTTCTACTGAAGACCAAAAATTGGCACCAAATGCATGTGTTTTGTTTGCTGTATGAGAGAACTAAGGATTAATCTTGAACTGCCAAACACCAAGTTTTTCCTGTTAAATACAATGAAAACAGAGTTCAAGCAGAAATTATCCTGTAGAGTTCAAGTACCTGAGCCACTCCAAGGGCTCTAGGAGCTGCCAGTGGCCATACATTTGTTCCCCTCAGTCCCACCAACATTTTTCTTTATTCTTTATGGAGAAAGTGCTTGGAAGAGCTTTGGCTGTGCCAGACCTGATCTCTCAATAGTGCATAAATCCCAAAGCAGCAGCTTCCTCAAACTAAATTAGTTACAAGTCATTTGTGGACATAATGGAGCATAAAACATTTAAATCCACCACTGCAAGTGCAGGGCCAGCCAAAATTACCAGTTTTAAAGGCTACCAGCTCATCTTTCTGGTGCATGGAACAACACTGTGTTTTCAATTTTACAATACTTAACCCGAGTTTGAGTTTCACTTAAATTTAGCCTGACAGCTGGCTTAAGAACAGCAACATAGATTAGCTACAACATTAAAGGGTATCCAGCTTCAAGTATGGGAATGGCAGCAGCACAAAAATCCTGGGATGCTGAACTGCAACTTGAAGCTTAACAACTCTGGCACTGCTGTCTTGCACCTCAGATACAACAGGGTGCAGGCAAGTCCTCCTATTCACTCAGCAAGGCTAAGGTTCTGTCCAGAAAAAGTTGTACTAACAGTAGTCATTTGAAACCTTATAATTTATACAAATTAAATTGCAATAAAGATGAACACAGTATTACAGTAATTTCATCTAGGCTGCTGTTAAATCAGGTGGTAAAATACTTGTCACTTCAGTGTTTATGGTGAAACTGAAATAGTAACTACTTTTTTAAAAGTAGCAAGCTTTTTAATTTGTAAGCATCTCGGAGCCCTCTTACTTCTATTTAACAATCTCTTGCTTATACAATTTATTATACATCCTCTAGGGATACTGATGATCCTTTGCAGTATCATCTGATGCTTTTAAGGAAGTTTGAGAATGACAAAAACTCATCTAATTTTCAGTTACTACAAGTTCAGGGATGGTATTTGCTTGTAAAATCTCAACATTCAAATAATTAGCAGCTTCACTGAGTATTAGCAAGTGTTGCATACATCCATTTCTATGCTGACAGTACATGCCACAGAAGAAAGACAAACAGAGAACTTCAGTAGCTTTTTCTTTTTTTAATTAATAACTTTAGTTCAGGAAAAAAAAATAAACCACAAAAGAGAACTGGAAGAACTACTCTCCACCTTCTTTATAAAAGAACTTTTCTCAAAGAGAGAGACTATATAGACCTTGTTCACCACTATGTCAAATCCTATCATAATCACCTTGGTTTCCACATCTATTCTACCACATTTCATGCTCAGCTTTCAAACATCTCTTATAAAGGAGGTGGGGATGTGCTTTAGACAGGTTAAAAATATGCTGCACCTTTAAAGTATTTAAACAATTACACCAAGCATAGTTCATACATTTATCACATTAACTATCACCTGGTAACCATACATTTAAAAAGGTCTAATGTAGAGTATGTAATACCCATGACAGATACTCTTACTTACTTAAGAGCATATAAAGATCAGGATTTATTCACCCTCCCCATCTGCAAGTCAATTTCTGATCTCTTCCTGGTACAATATAAATGACAAAAAAATCCCTTCATTCCATTGCACTACTGCAACCCTATATGCATAGAAAGGCAGATTAATTACCTGTGACAGGGAAAAGGAAGAGGGGTTTAGAAAAAGAATTTGAAGAACATCTACTGCACAGGTACCTTAGATGTTAAGCACGTGAGTTCTGCTGTTTGGGTTTTTTTCCCCAGTTATTTTTTTTTCTTATGGTCACACAATACACCCCTACACAAACATAACTTGAGTAAGTGCAAGTTACTCCTGACCAACAAAACAACTTCAGCACAAGAGGCTTGA